ATTCTTTATTACACGCCGCGTGCACGCGGCGTCTAGTAGATCAGCAATGGGGAAAATTTTAGTCTTGTCTATTATCTGAACTACGGCCATATTATCGCAATTGAATCTGGTTGTTTTGTTAACTAAATCAGAGCCCAAAATATATAACGCGACCAAAATGGGGAATAACTCTAACGCTGTTATATCGGATGTAATTCCGCGTTTGTGCCATTTGCAGAGTATAAATTAATATCCCAGAATCTGTCATGAAAAACAGATATTTCGTTAAAATTATTTAGAAAATACAACCACATCTCTAAATTAAAGGCGAAAAGCCTTCTTTATCCTTATACGATGATATATTTTTGTAAGACCGCAAATTGAATTTATTAAACGGCGGATAAATGGCCTAAAATAGATGTCATGCACTTTATCTGGATGATTAAGAAGATATATAGATGCACATGTGTAACTGATGAATGCGTTTGTCCATTTCTCCACAGACATGATTTTCTCTTCACATTCTCTTTGAACAGTTTCAATTTGACCATCGGCATTTATTTTGAAAATACTTCCACTGCAGAACTGTGATATATCTACGGTGCCCTTAAGAGAGATTTTCATACTCTGTTAAGACGGTACATAGGCAGCTAAATCGTCACTTGCCAGGTAAATTAGGAGCGCAGTGAATTCAGGAGTGTTTAATTGATGCGATTCCGGATTTCGAGATAAAGTGCGGTCGGTCTATTTACCCCAAAGACACCCCAAGGTACCCCAAGACTACCCCAAGACACCCCTAGACTACCCTAAGACCACGCCAAGACATCCCAAGACTACGTCAAGACACCCCAAGACAACATCAAGACACCCCAAGACACTTTTACTGACATGTAAATACGTCTTAAATTTACATTTTTTACGGGAGGAAACTATGCGGTTCCACATTTACACATTGAATCTCTCTTCATTTATTTCCATATATTTTTAAATGTAAGATTATAAATGTATATATTCTTTTTTTGTGCAAAATAGTTAACAGCAATGAAATAATGGCAATGTTGCGGGATTTTGGTGTAGTGCAAGTTTGCGACAATGTCATTTTATGAGTAACACATTTTTGATGCCTGATTATTAAATTGATAATAATCTGTTTCATAATATTGATTTTTTTTATTTCATCTGCCCTTCATTTTATTAAAAATTAGATTAACAGATTAACATAGTCTTGTTGTTTCAGAAAAGTGAATTTTAATCAAAATATTTTTTTTTATATTAAAGAGCATATCAATAATTTTTTTAGTGATGAAAGAAGTCAATCCATAATTAACAATATTTGATATATTAGACAGTAACGTAAATTATCAGTTGTCGTATATAATAACACTTTCCCAATATACACAATATATTTAAGTTTCTTGGAGTGTCTTGGGGTAGTCATGGGACTAAAAATGTGTATCTTTCTGTCCCAGAGTAGTCTTGGGGTGTTTGGGGTATCTTGGGGTGTCTTGGGGTAAATAGACCGACCCCCCTAAAGTGTTGCCACACCTCGATTGCATATTTCTATCTAAAAAAAAGTTGTTTGAAAGCTTTAACACACAACAATACTTTTTATGATAATGAAACAAAATGGAAAAGGCAGTTTGCAACTGATTCAAATTAAAAACAGGTACATTATATAAGCTAAACAAAAGTTGACCAAATATTTTTGTCGAATCCGCTTGCGGTGAGCTCGACTTAGTCGCCACTTTTGGCGCATATTTTGGTGTATGTGCGTCTTTGCGTCAGTCCGTGCGTCTGAATTTGTCATGTCGATATCTTGCTCGTTCTTTGAAGGATAACAAAATAATTTAGTATATGTTTCGGGAAAAGTCCGAATGGGAGCATTCAGAGAAAAACACTTATCCCGTTTTCAGGCAATAAACCTAAACCAGGTAATAAATCTATAACTTTTTTTTACAATTATCTCAAGTACTATAATTTAGTACACATAGCCATTCTTTGGTGCGCTACATGATTTTTATTTTTTTGGGTCGTCAGACCAAACAAATAATGGTAGCAAAATTTCAGACCCTCATGCTGTTAATTGCAAATGCCGAGAGTAGTTCGCTTTTTTAAGCGGTTACTTCCCTTTATATGTGTACTAACGCCGAAAAATTCAGGGGAGATCACTGCGTAAAGATGGTCAAATGACAGGCGCATTTATTTTCAAGCAAAATAGTTTTATTCTTTATAGTTTTACATGTTTATAGTAAGCTCCATGATTATTTACATCTGTGTTAAATAACAGTTAGCGTCGAAATTAGAAGGGTTACAAACCCTAATTTAGAATAATATGGTTTACTTCAGGCCGTTAACATATAACTTCACCGTGGCGCTCGCCTAGGAAGCGAGAGGTCTGGAGTTCAAATCCCAGTTATGGCAATTCATTTTTTTTTTCAAATTGTTCAAGTCAAATTAATATTGAATTGAATATCAGTGTTGCAATTAGTCTTATAGCCAATTTACTACAATTAAAACGCTGGAAAGCACTGGTGGCACTATACAAAAACAAATTGGTTTATAATCCCACAGCCTTCGCCTTTTTGACATTCTGAGACCCAAACAAATTCAGCGCCTTCTGTGCTTTGATTTAAAACTCTTACGTTTTCTAAAAAAATAAAATAAAATTGTATTCCAAGTGGGCAGGTGCGCGATGACGTAGTATAAGAGACAATAAAATAAAGTAAAACTGTAAATAAACATTTTTTTTGTGATCTTTGGTATAAGATACATGTACACAATCATTATATATAGCAGACGGTTTTTTCCGCAGGATTTTCCGCGGAATACACTTGCCCTCTCTTTTTTTTAAAAACAATTCAGTTCGCTAGTTTAATTTTTCTACCTTGTCTATTTAAAAATGATTAAATAAAAAGAATAATAATGAAAAACATCTTAAAATTAATTTTATCTAGAGATATTGTTAAAATAGATTATTGATATTGTTAAAATAGATTATTAATCGGCCTTTTCCGATTATGTTAAGTCCTTTCCGCGGAAAGGGACTCTTTACCGAATTATAAAGTAGTGAATACTTTTACTCCAAACATAAATTGATCATTGTTTTTCTATATTTTTAACAAGTAAAAGCTAAATATCATATACTATAATAATTACATATATTGCTTTGAAACGAAATGACTATATATATTTCAGTGGCATATTTTATGAAATTTGCTTTTGTGTAGTTAAATTTAAGAGAGAACCTATTCTTTCCGTTTTGTTGTAGAAAAAGGAAGTGAAGTAGTTAACACCCCAGAAAATAGTCGGTGAAAATAGTATCAAAATGTCAGAAGAGTTAGTGTGGGGAGTTAAGAATGGAGATATTGATGCAGTTAAAAAAGAAATAGAAAATAAAAAGGTCATTGTCAATTGCAAATGTCATTTATTAAAGATTATAGTCAAGTTAAAATTTAGACACTTACCTTTTTGTGGGTGGGGAACTGAAATACTTCTAACAGTGCGGCCTTCATTATTAAGTTAAGTAACATTTGTCCCACGTTATCTATCTATCTATCTATCTATCTATCTATCTATCTATCTATCTATCTATCTATCTATCTAATCTATCTAATCTATCTATCTATCTATCTATCTATCTATCTATCTATCTATCTATCTATCTATCTAATCTATCTAATCTATCTTATCTTATCTATCTTATCTATCTATCTATCTTCCATATAGTCAAACCCCTGCTGGGGACCTAGACTTGACGCGCGTCAACTGACAAGAATGTTAGTAAAAGAACTGAAATAAAAGAATATAAAAGTAATGGAAATGAGTAAATTGTTAAAAACAGGTTAAAAATAGAGAAGGTATTTTAGGGAGACGTATGTTCAATCCGGCTAACAGCCAGACTGAACTCGGGGCCAGACAAGTTCATGATATCAGGTGGTAAAGCATTCCAGTGGACTATTGTTCTTGGGAAAAATGAATATTTATAGTAATCAGTTTTAGTTTGGACTTGTTGGAATGCATGGGGATGGGATGTTCTTGATGAATCTTGTAAGAGGGACGATATAATTTGGGAAAGGGATAGCCACCTGGTCATGCAAGATGTTGTGAAACATGACCAGGCGTTGGTCAATACGCCGAAGGTCAAGGCGCCTCCATTGAAGGGAAGTCAACATGTCAGTGACACTCGACATACGGCCAAAGTCATGTTTGACCCACCTAGCAGCTCTTCTCTGGACAGACTCTATCTGGTCAATGAGAGTTCCTGTGTAGGGGGACCAGACCGTGGAGCTATACTCGAGCTGGGGCCTAACAAGTGTCTTGTATGCAGTTGACTTTAACCTTTCTGAGTGAACCTTGATATTTCGGCGAAGAAAACCAAGTGTTTGATTTGCCTTTGTTGTGATGTTGTTTATGTGTTTGTTCCATGTTAGATCATTTGATATTGTAATGCCAAGGTATTTTGCAGATGAGACTGTTTCTAATGTGGTGTTATGTAGAAGGTATTGTGTTGGAATGACTGTTTTTCGTTTTGTGATTTGGATAACTGTGCATTTTGATGGATTAAATTGCATGTCCCATTTTGTCTCCCATTGTTCAAGTTGGTGTAAGTCGTGTTGCAGTAATCTAGAATGAGAAGCGACAGTCAGAGATAGATAGATGGCTGTGTCATCAGCAAATAGGCGGACTTTAGAGGATTGGACATATTCAGGAAGGTCATTGATGTATATAAGAAATAAGAGAGGTCCGAGGACCGAGCCCTGGGGAACACCGGAGGAGACTGGTATGGAGCTGGATGTGGAGCCATTTACCACCACGGACTGTGACCTGTTATCAAGAAAACCTTTGATCCATTTAAGAGTTTGACCCCTTATACCGATATTCTTATAGTGATTCTTCTCGCTTTAATAATTAATCCTAAGTGATTTACATTATGTTATAATCACATTAGCTTTCACATATGTTTACTGTAACTTTTACAGCTGAGAATGCCCGATCGGGCTTATGACATAAAAAATCATATTTCTATATAATTTTTATTATATGAGCCACGTCATGACAAAACCAACATAGTGGGTTTGCGACCAGCATGGATCCAGACCAGCCTGTTCCTCTGCACAGTCTGATCAGGATCCATGCAGTTGCTGTTCGCTATCAGTTTCTCTACTTGTAATAGGGTTTGTAAGCGAACAGCATGGATCCTGATCAGACTGGTCTGGATCCATGCTGGTCGCAAACCCATTATGTTGGTTTTGTCATGACGCTGCTCATATATTTCTTTTAAACTTTATAAACAACATAATTTTTATGAACTTAAAATATTTTGTTTCGGGAAAATGGGAAATAATTCTAAGAAAATAAAAGGTAACCAAAATATTTTTATTTTGATTTGTATCATATATAAATTCTTAATAAATAAAACAAGTGAGAATGAAACATAATAATTAATTTTTTTAGAAATATGATGTTTTATGTTTAAGCCCGATCGAGCATTTTCACCAGCCTGTTTATGTTGAATAATCTATGACTTCGCCAATAATAAATTAATGCCATCTTTTTTTTTTTCTGTCTTCCCATTTGTGTTTGTCACGGTTCAAAATTGTTAACCTATAGTTATAAAGGGAGAAGTGTGTAAGCGTCCGGATAACTCAGTTGGTAGAGCCATGGTATGGTATTCTGGTGGTCCCTGGTTCGAGTCCTGGTCAGGCTGCACATTTAATGATTTATCTCACCCTTTGACATTTGGCGCCCAAAATGGGACTCTGACTGACGTGGCATGTTGAACCTCCTTGAATATGCTCAAACTCACCAATGTGGATTGAGGAAGCTGAAAGAGAATTAGCTGTGTGTTGTATAGACTTTGTCAAATTTGTTGATGTATTGTACTTACACTATCCTATATCATATGCAGTGTGCTTCCATATTAAAGACTATACTGAAAGCTTTATTTCCTGTTATACCCATTAAAATTAGCTGTTATTTAGCAGGTGACATAATTTCTACATGTTATAGTATTGTATAAAGTTCTAGAAATTGAAACAATGCGTCCCATTGATGATTTGCCCCATAACAACTCAATCCACGTAAGTGATAATTCACCCCTCTTCAAAATTATTATTTCAAACCTAGTTTAGGTAATTAAGAAATAATAATAATAATAGATGTATGTTTTGGTAAATTTGTGAGATAAAATGTTCACCATATCAATCTATAAGAAAGAAAATGGTCAATTTAACTATTAATTCACCCCAATTAAGTAGTGGTTCGTCACCACCTCATCAATCATCATTGCACCATATTCTAAATCATTTTCGTTCAAGAATGTTCACATTGCTTGTATTTGCTGAAAAAGGATCAGTTGGTGGTATGCACTGAAATACTACATCTTATCTGGTGGCGCCAAACGTCATTAAAATGGGAGAAGATGTTATGGGGTGGATCATTATATTACCAGTCCAAGGTGACTGGCAAGTAAACAAACTTTTAAAAAAATCTTTATTTTTTAAACTATTGGTAGGGTTTGTAGAGAAATGGTTTACAGTGCAAGTGGCACATTAGATTTCTTTAATTTAGCAACATCTGCCTGATTTATCTACATGTATATTGATCACCATATCTGTTATTTACAGGTAGGGGCTATTGCAACATATTTGGGACAAGCATCTGTGGATGGTATTAGTGTGTTTGAGGCTAGCTTGAAACTGTTTTGTACATTTGACAAAGAAATTTCTGTTTACAGCAATTTGTTAATCTCATATAGAAATCTGAATATTGAGACTTGCTGCAAATAAATAATTTTTATTATGTTTTATTTACAGGGAGATATTAATACTGAAGTACAAGGAAGAACTGCCCTTCACTTTGCAGCAGATTATGGTCAAACAGATGTTATAACTTGCTTGTTAGATAATGGTGCTGATATAAATGTAAGAGTTTCCAATATATTTTCATTTTTATATGCCTCCACCATGGAGGTCATGGTATCATAAAGGTAATTAAGGTAAAACATTTTTTCAGACAAGTTTCTTGATTGGGTCTCTACCTAAATTGAAAGATTATTTTTGATTTCTCAAACAAATTTACATTTGTGTCTATATTGCCTGTCTTTGCAGTGCTCTTGTTATACAAAATGTATGCTAGAACTTACTGAAGGTGGACTGGTTGTTGACTACTCAAAATTAATCGTAATTGTCCGATAATGTCAGTAATTTTACTGTCTTCTTGTTTATTCTTTATAGAAAAATTCTTTTGAAACTGTTAATGAACTACAAGATTTGTGAATGTCACTAATAATGATATACATGTAGTAATGATAAATGGACTTTTTACAACCCTTAACAGACCAGTAAAAGCAATACCTAAGTACGGTCAAACTGTTGTGTAAGACCACTGTGAAATAAGACCAGTGATATGAAACCTGTTTAGAAAGACTACCCTCGTACTATTTTCCCCATTTGAATGATTTTAGTGTAAACTGATCTATAATATATAAAGTCAACCTGTGATAAATAATTGTTTGATGCTTTCATTCTAATTTCTAACACATATTACACTGTAATCTGTAGAGAATATATTTTCAGTTGCTATTGTTACAATTTCAGAAACCAGATAAACATGGTATATCGCCACTTTTAGCAGCAATATGGGAAAATCATACAGATGCTGTTAAGTTGTTATTAGAAAGAGTAAGTTGATGAAAATCAATTCTTAGTTTGCATTATGAGCTTAAGCTGTGTAGAATTTGTTAAGTTCTATCCTTTGTATGTTTAAGGTATGGTACGTCCGAGTAAATGTATAATAATTGATCAGCTAAGCAATAGAAAGAGCATCAAAACAGGAGGCTCTCTGGTTTGTATAAGGAGGCATTTCCTGTTGTCACAATAAGTAAACCCCAGAAAAAATGAGCCAATCAACGCGCGTGCTCTATTTTTATCCCTGACATACAGTGCGGAAACTGGAGTGCGGGTTACTAATAGTAAATGCCTTAAAGGGAGACACAGGCAAAATTCATTTCTTCGTTTTGATTTTTTCATTCATTATTCTGTAAGTGTCCTGAAAATGAATACACTAAGCAGTCACAGGGACAAAACTTTTGTACATATAAAGAATAAAATGGTGGTTTCCTAACCTGACCCACGTGGTTAAGATTTCCCAATAGTTGTAACAGTGAACTATAGAAACATTAAAGAACATGTCAAACGAATGCCTAAGACTTGTTTTAATCATACAATATCCACAATATCTGTTATTGTAACATCCAGGGTTTGTACAAGTCACATGACTTGTTTTAAAACCACTTGCTGATTCTGTCGGGGTCAAAATTTTGTTCAACATATATAGATATATTTATGCTTCAAACACAAAATATATAGGATTTAAACAAAAATTTATGCTGGGACTTTAGAAGATGTCATTTTAGCATGATTTGAGTACATTAGATCATTTTAATATTTATGTCATTAATTTGCCTGAGTATCCCTTTAACTCCATTTCACACACTGTATGGGTATACATTTTAATTCTGACACATATTCAGTAGAAGTCACCAAAATATGACCCAAACTTAAATTGTTGTTCAAAACTTTTGTATTCATAAATAACATAATGATAAGAAGGGCAGTTGACAGATATCTAGTATATCCATTTAGTACTGGTCCAATAGAACTGTTACAAGTTGCTGCTGAAATAATGCAGTAAACTGGGGCAAAAACAGCCACAAAACAATAATCTACTGGAATTCATTTGTGTTGTTACCATGCTGGGTGGTGATGTTGGTAGTTTACCCTCCGAATCACAACAGTAAGCCACATTGAATTTACCAGTGCATCGTCCAGCCACGGCATCATTCCAAGGCAAACATCTTAGGTCTTTTACCAGTACAAAAGCATGATTACTACAAAAGTTGAATGTTTGCAATACTTGAACCCTTTAGCAATTGAAATTGAAAATGACTATGTATTAACAACTTCAGAATGAACTTTCTTTCTATATAGGGTGCTAGTAAAGAGGGTAAGGCACCAGACGGAACGTCGTACTATGACTGTGCGGAGACGGATGATATTAAAGAATTATTGAAGAAAAAATAAATTGACACATTGGTGCTATATTTCCAAAGGAAAGAGACTTACAAACCTTGTATTTGGAATGCCAGGAATTATTAATTATGAGACAGACTGTGAAGAAAAGAACAGGAAAAAATGATCAAACATTTTAATGTTGCAGAGATCTAACGAAGAGATGAAGGAAATTTGAAAAATGGAAATATTTTTTTTAAATGATTTAATTGAAAGTACAAAGATTGTATGTTGATTGAATATTGTGAAAATTGTAATGGTATGATTTTTTTTCAAGTTTATAAATTTTCAAAGTAAATTTTGAAATCACTTTAGGAAAATAAATAGAAACGAAGAAGTAAAACGATGTAATTAAAACAATTCAATGTGGTAAAATGATTTTTTTTTTAATATTTTGTTCTTTTTTTTTCAAAATTAGCTGAACAGAGTATGCATTAAGTGTGCTTTACTTTTCATCGATTTGATTGTTGGGTTTTCAAACTTTTCTTAGGTAATTTGTAGTAGCTTTTCTCATTCAGTTGCATTATATTTAAATTTGTCATATAATATTTGTTTTCAGCTTTATATTATGCTTGTATTTCATACTTGTTAAAGTGACTTAAATTCAGGCAGGTTACATTTTATGCTTTGGTGAGAAATTCAGCAACTTAAATAAATTTCTGCAAATTTATTTTTGGAAGGGGAGCATAATAGACCTTTGATAGAATTGAGCTATATATATATATATATATATGTACCTGTAAATTTTAAAATGTTCTTATTTTGTTAGTCTTAAGCTGATGGTTTATAACTTTGCAACTTTTTTTAGAATTTTTTTTTTGTGTTTTTGTATAAAGATTTCTGTGAAATCACTGTTAATGATTGCGAATGAATGTTTGTTAGAATTTTTCGGTGTATGTTTGTAATTTATAAACAGTTGTTTATAGACAATTCATTGCACAGTGTTTGTGATTTCACATGTTGTTTTTTATTTACCTTATTATTCTGTCAAGAGGAATGGCATATATTCATATTTATATACAAGAAATAGTAACATTTCTTATATCAAAAATTATCTTTAAAGAGTAACGGAAGTGTTAAAAGGGTGGATTTTATCATAATCTAATATCTTTTATTTATTGATTATACGAGGGTTGTCCCAAAATATCGTAGACTTCATTATTTTCTCTTCAACCTGACGTCATAACTTAATAACATTTACCAGATATCTTCCTTGGTCATTTGTTAATTTACCTTCTTAAAGTAAATAGCCAATATATAAGGTAACGCTTTTTATCAGGGTTTTATATTAAACAGTACAACATACCCGGAGCACGATAAAATATTAGTCAGTGTTGAGAGCATGCTTCTTAAAAACATGCCTTTAACTTCCAGCATAATAATAATTATGGGAAATACATTCCTGTGGAACGACGTCATTCATTTTTACGTCATATCACCAACAGACGTTTATGTAACGCTACTTTGAAAAAATCTGTAGCATAATATGTAACAGCAAACTCGTACATGTAGTTTAAAAGACATGGTGTAGAACTATATCTTAATTGCTTAAGTCAAGTCAATGACCTGCCAGATGCCCACCCAAGCATGGTTAAATTGTTTCCCTTACTATGAAAGTTGCTGTACTTGTATTTCATGTTTGACTTAAGTGTAACAGGATATTTTATAAAAGTCTTTTTGAATCATGTAGAAATAACGACAACGTCTGTTATCTATAATTCCTTTTATTCATGATAAATTGATACATGTATATGGAACATATCAAATATTTAAATTCCTTTGACAATCTTTGTTCAAAATAAACCCTTAGTCTGCTTGCAGCAACAGATTCTGCCCATGTGACCAGTGCAGACCATGATCAGATGACATGGATCATCCGTGCAGTCTGATCTGAATCCGCTCTGTGCCGTCTGCATTGTTCACAATTCAGTTAGTATATATTTTGAAAATTTCCCTAAAAATGATGAATGGTTTTGTCCACCTACTGAAAGATAGACAAGTCCATTTAAGATATTTAGGGTTGTTAGGGGTAAGGTAGAATGACATATTTCCGATTGAGGTAGGTTAGGGTTAAGGTATACCTACTGAATGACTTGTTTAAGTTGTTATATATTTCAGAATGCCCATGTGATCATATGCTTCAATTAAAACATGGTTAGTGTCAATTTATTTTGTTTTTGGAATACTTGTTGCCATTTTGTTTGCTTAAAATTTTTTATAGATACTTAAACATAAGGCATTAGTAATAACGATTTGTGCGCAGAAGTGCCCAGCAAGACTCTTATAGCCTAAAAAATATAGTCAGAAAGACCTTTAAGTATTTCTTAGGTTTTTAGAAACTTAAAAGAATACCAACCCTGTTTCATGTTACCAGGGTTCAACATTTTTTTTTTACATTTTTGCAGATAGTCTAAGGGAGATAATTGTCCGAGATAGAAAAAAAAGTGCTAATTAAACAAATCTTGGATATGACATTACAACAAAAATTGTTTATTTTTAGTCATTTTGTATCTCTCGGCAAGACTGAACTGTTTTGGAGTTGTTATTTTTGACAACTCAGTTTAAGCATTTTCTCTTTATTTAAAATACCTACCTAGCAAAACTGTTATTATCAACATTACAGTAAACGGGCCATAACTCTGCATCATATACATTATATCAGAATGATAGCCTTTGGTAAAAAAAAATAATGTTTCATGAAGTATTTAAATAGCAATATATTTATACCGATATTTCACAACATTGCTCTTGGAAATTGTGTTCGTCGTTTGATAAAAAAATCACAGCTGGTTTTTTTTTTTTTCAGAAAAGCATTGCTTTTATTTTAATCAAGCAACTCTTCCTCCCAGCTATTATAAAAAAAATAAGGTTATAAGATTGTTTTTGTCTTCTTATCTTCATACAACAGTTTGCTATTAGTATTTGTTTTTTATATATATATAAAATAGTGCTGTGAAAAATTTATTGTGCAATGTTTTAATATACGAATTCATAATATCATTGTATCACAAAAATCATTGTCTGAATATAATGCTATTGATATAATTGTGTTGATTTTTTTTTTGTGATAGCCAATATTGAAAGGCACTTCCATGGGTTTTACTGGATGCAGGATCCTTCAACAATTTACCCGTAAAAAGCCTACTTGGATACATAATTCTCTGTAATGCCAGCATCATAAGTTTTGTTTAATATAATTTATCGCATGGTTTGGAACTTTTCCTTTGTTCATACTAACCCATTATACTCAGTACACTTCAATGAGCATTTGAAAACCGTATTGATATATAGCAGTACAGTTTTTTCATTGATTCATACAGGAAAAAAACTTGACTGCTATACAGCGGTTGAGTTTTTTTAGCACATTGTATATATCAATGTAGTTTTTTTCACAGAGGCTCCAATGGGGCAGTGGTAACGAACATTCCCAGTAGAACAATAAAATAAAATAAATAGATAAATACAATGAAAAATATAAACATAGATAATTAATGAAATGATTTCTGAATCAAAAGTGCTGAAAATGGTAAACTGTTACGCCTTTCGTTTTCAAACTTCATTAGGAAGTAACTCCAATAACGTGCTACATACACAACTTGTATTGAGAACAGCATAAAGTATAAGATATATTCAACACCACAGTGGCACACTCGCAAATAATCATTATGTTGAGAGTGGAATAACTGGTCAAGATCTTTTGTTTTTACATTTCTAACACGTTTTGTTATAACACTGCTGTCATCCCTGTACCTTGCTCTGAAGAATTTGGATTTTCTACCTTTGAACATGAATGTCTTCAAGAGGGTAATCATTGTGTTCAATTCTTTAAGAATGAGAAGCAAAACCAGTATCATTAGAGCTTTCATAGGAGCAGTGCACTCAAGCTGGATAGTAAAGTGATCTAGTTTTTATTATGCAGCAGTGATCTAGTTTTTATTATGCAGCAAGTCTTGAACTGGTCCAATTCATATACATTGTATTGGTATGAAAACATTTTTTTAACCTTCAAACTTTTTTTTTTACAACCAATATATAGTATTAGACAGATGCCCCAACAAAATAAAACTCTGGCAGATGCACAACTACACATGCTGATCAACAATCCTGTAAAGTTTCAGGATTCTAGGTCGAATTCTTTTTGAGTTATGCAAGACAAGTTGAAAATCTTTATGTCAAGGGCAATAACTCTTCAAATACTGAATAAATCTACAAGCAAAAACCTTCAAGTGAATAACTTCTTTTGTTGATCAAAATTCCTGTAGTTTCATGGCTCCATATCAAAAACTTTTTGGGCTATTTGTTAAACAAGTTACAAATTTATATTGTCAAGGGCAATAACTCTTAACAAAACTGAATTAATCCACACGCATACCCCAGGTGCTGTGTCCCAAATTTTAAACCAGTTTATCACTTTCCTTTAATTTGGTAGTTTGTTGGTTTCCCTCAAGCCAATTTTAAAATACATGTGCCCAATTTCTGAAAACCAAAACGTTTGAAAACGGGACGGAAATAAATCCAAAGGGGGGGGGCAAAAAAATAAATAAAACTGCAACAAGAGAGCTAAAAAAACAATAACAAACAAATCCAATTCTTTTTTTTTTATTGTAAGATACTGTACAGAGATTAACGGTATGATTTCTGGTATTTTGGCCCCTTGGGAACCTGGACCCCAAAAATTTTTTGGGCTCGCACCGTTTTTGGACCCAAAAAACCCCAAAAAGATTTCTTGTCATAAGCAATCAAAAGGTCTTTGATTTCCTTCTTGGAGGCCTCATCAACATCTTAATTGAAAAAAAATAACAATATGCAAGCAGTCTGAAGTCCAGATCTTAACCAATCGTCCCCTATTATTGTTTTACTTGGAAAATAATTATATACATCAACTCAAACTATAAATTTCATTCACAAGTATTTTCCTAAAAGAAACACACTACTCTGAATTACTTCTTCAAAATCAGATCAACAAAACTGAGCCAATTCATTAAAGTAACACATCAGAGCGATTCTGACAAAAGTTATTGTGCAACTTCTGATAAAAATTTATCATCATTGTGTTACCAACCAATTATAGCTCATTAATTCACTTCATTGAACATTCATACAAATTGTACAATCTTAACATTTTCATCTTCAAGAAAGATTAAACCAATTAAAAATGCAATTTTATAGTATATTTTAATCAATGATTTTCATAAAATAGAAAATAGGTATGAAGTGTCACCTCAACCTATGAATTTCATTCACAAGTATTTTCCTTAAAGAAACACTGTCTTGAATTATTTATTCAAAATCAGATCAACGAAACTAAGCAAATTCATTAAAGTAACACATCAGAGCGATTCTGACAAAAGTTATTGTGCAACTTCTGATAAAAATTTATCATCATTGTGTTGCCAACCAATTATAACTAATTAGTTCACTTCATTGAACATTCATACAAATTGTACAATCTTAACATTTTCATCTTCAAGAAAGATAAAACCAATTAAAAATGCAATTTTATAGTATGTTTTAATTCTTAACCTGCTGGAACCAAACCTGGTTAGTCTTTGCCACCAGTATAGAGCCAGGACATCCTAAACATCCCTGAAGTCTGAGCAGGCTCTATACTGTTTGCTTACATTTAGATTATTTTTTATCTACAAGATTGACATTTGGAAGCCACACTAGTCTTTTAAATAAATTCAGTGGATTAAAGGTTAAATATAAAAAAAAACTTATTAAAAAAAATTTACAATTTGTTTCAAAGATTAAAATTTCTTTAAAATGTTTATGCTTGAAATGAATACCAGCACATTTATATGAGAATCTTCTATTATATATGAACTTGACAAAGTGATCACTAATTTACTAACAAAAGTTTAACACATCAGAGCGATTCTGACAAAAGTTATTGTGCAACTTCTTATAAATAGCATCATCATTGTGTTTCAACCATTTATTTATAAGCAATTAAATCTTTTTAATTCACTTAGGAATAAACAAACACTCGTGCAATATTTCAACATCAAAATTAGTCAAAAATAGCATAAAACTCAATTTATTTCAATCATAACAATCTTCAGTCTTCACACTTTACTTTGGACTTTAAAATAATAATGTTATTGTTAGGTTTTTAAATACTTACATTTCTGATAATAGGCAACCAGAGATTTGGAGATGGCCTGTCTGATAGCTGAAATTAGAATGGAGAAGGAAACATGATTAATTTTAAACTGATAATTTTTTCCTTCACTTATCTGAACATGTACTTTCAAAAACATTTCATCTCTTCATCAACAATTCAAAGACATTTGAGCCGCGTCACGCCAAAACCAACATAATAGGTTTGCGACCAGCATGGATCCAGACCAGCCTGCGCATCCACGCAGTCTGATCAGGATCCATGCTGTTCTCTTACAAACCCTATAACAAGTAGAGCAACTAATAGCGAACAGCATGGATCCTGATCAGACTGCGCGGATGCGCAGGCTGGCCGCAAACGCACTATGTTGGTTTTGTCATGACACGGCTCATTTCATCTTTATTGACTATAAAACATGAGCAAATCACTTATCATTCCGTTTTAAATCATATCAATGCCAACTTTTTTCAAGTCATGATTATAAAGACGTTTACTTCTGATAGAGACCTGGATGTAAATTTTCAAAGCATTCAAAGTCAGTGACCTTTCTGAACTGATTATTTTAGGTTTTCCACAGCTATGATGGACTAAACAAACAAGAACCGGTTGAACCGGGTGATGCTCCCCGAGAAGGTTCTGGACACAGGAAAGTATAAAAAAAATGAACAAAAAGCAAAACTCCAAAATTAGGCAAAGCGGAGTTATGTTTTTTTGCACTGCACTTCTATTCAATGAGATCTATCTATCTATAAAGTTTCCTGATGATATCAGAATTATGTCCCAGGTAAAAGTCAAAGTGTAAAAATGAACAAAGGGCAATAACTCCAAAATTAGACCAGGCTTTGTTTAGGTTCTTTAAGCATTGCAATTCTATCCAATTATATCTAGCTACCTACAAAGTTTCATGTTGATATCTCTAATAGTTTTAAAGTATTGTCCAGGACAAAAGTCAAAAAGTAAAAATAAACAAAGGGCAATTACTTCAAAATAAGGCAAGGCAGAGTAATGATTCTTAAGCACTGCACTTCCACCCAATGAGACCTATCTATCTACAAAGTTTCATGTTGATATCTCTTATAATTTTAGAAGTAATGTCCCAGACAAAGTCAAAGTGTCAAAATGAACAAAGGGCAATAACTCCAAAAGTAGGCAAGGCAGAGTTACCGTTCTTGTGCACTGCACACCTACTCAATGAGATCTATCTACCTACAAAGTTTCATGTTGATACCTTTTATACTATTAGAGTTATGTCCCGGACAAAGTTCAAAGCGTTAAATAAACAAAGGGGGATAATTAAAAAAATAGGCATAGCAGAGTTACGGTTCTTGTGCACTGCACACCTACTAAATGAGATCTATCTACCTACAAAGTTTCATGTTGATACCTCTTATACTTTTAGAGTTATGTCCCGGACAAAGTTCAAAGTGTAAAATAAACAAAGGGGGATAATTAAAAAATAAGGCAAGGCAGAGTTACGGTTCTTGTGCACTGCACACCTACTAAATGAGATCTATCTACCTACAAAGTTTCATGTTGATACCTCTTATACTTTTAGAGTTATGTCCCGGACAAAGTTCAAAGTGTAAAATAAACAAAGGGGGATAATTCAAAAATAAGACAAGGCAGAGTTACCGTTCTTGTGCACTGCACACCTACTCAATGAGATCTATCTACCTACAAAGTTTCATGTTGATACCTCTTATACTTTTAGAGTTATGTCCCGGACAAAGTTCAAAGTGTAAAATAAACAAAGGGGGATAATTAAAAAATTAGGCAAGGCAGAGTTATGGTTCTTGTGCACTGCACATCTACTCAATGAGATCTATCTACCTACAAAGTTTCATGTTGATACCTCTTATACTTTTAGAGTTATGTCCTGGACAAAGTTCAAAGTGTAAAAATAAACAAAGGGGAATAATTAAAAAATTAGGCAAGGCAGAGTTACGGTTCTTGTGCACTGTACACCTACTCACTGAGATCTATCTACCTACAAAGTTTCATGTTGATACCTCTTGTTGTTTCAAAGTTATGTCCCGGACAAGAAAAGGGGACGGACGGACGGAAAGACGGACGGACAAGGCGGCGACTATATGCTCCCCTGAATTTTTTTCGGGGAGCATAAAAATCAAGCATATCATGATGTCAAATCTGCAATCATAACTGTTATATAAATAAATTTGAGTTTGTACACATCAGAGTGAATGTATCAGCATCATCAACTATGACGGCAGTTCCTATCAAGACACAACGGTTCATCATACGTGTACAGATAATCCTCAATATTTATCTTACTAAACTTGCCTTCATTTATAGGCAGCCACTTCTTGTAGATTTTCAAAACCCTAAAACACATTTAAAGAACCCTACTGATGACTGTTTGTGTTTTTTTTAATTAAAGCACCGTTAAAGAATAAACTTGAGATAAACAATATCCTTATATCCTTTCCCAATTGGAACTCAGCCTTGGAAAAAGGCCCCCATTGGAATAATGAGGGGGAGGGGGGGATTCTGACAATTTTGGAAAATTTTTATCAAATTTTAAAATATACCATATAAATGCATGACTTTTTAGGTTTTAACATTGTCTGGTCATAAAGCATGTTAAGAAATCAGTCAAAACAGTTTCAATTTTTTTTCTCAGAAGTTGTTTTTTCATTAATGGCTGCTTTCTGGAATTTTTATTTGAAAATTGGGGGAAAAAGCATTTTTTGTACAAATAGAAACACAGGTGGGAGAATTAGTTCAAGTGTACACATCAGAGTGAATGTATCAGCATCATCAACTATGACGGCAGTTCCTATCAAGACACAACGGTTCATCATACGTGTACTGACATCTTTAGGTATTTAGAAAAAGAAGTTCCGAATTGGGATTTAGAGACTTTAAAGGTGCATCATAACTTAAATGTTCAAGATATGTATAAACAAGCACATACATTTTCAGGATTAAACTTAACTTCTATGACTGGAATACAAGATGGTACAATCAGTCAACTTTAATTTGAGTTGGATTTATCAGATTGTACACATTTTGCTCAAATGGAAACCTTAACGTAACTTGCAAAACTATGCAACTATTAACATTAACAAATATTAAAATATAATTTAATCTGCAAATAACATGATTTTTTAAAGTGAACTTTGATATGTTCTAGTGTTTAAGGAAAAAGCAATCTTTACCAATAGACTTATAGATAGACCTAGTAATTTAATCAGTTCTATGGTACGAGTCATTATTAGTACATAGAATTCATCAACACACATCAGAGTGAATGTATCAGCATCATCAACTATGACGGCAGTTCCTATCAAGACACATTGGTTCATCATATGTGTGGATCAACCAAAACCATAAAAAATTTCAATTACAATAACTTCAATCATACAATCACTGAGAAATCAATCGATAATTTTTTTGAATTTTCTTTCAGATTTTCTTTAAAGTCAGATGTTGCGTTTCAAGTCATGTTAATTTTACGTTGCAAAAATGCTCTCAAATGGATGTTTAGTTCAGGAATACCCCAAATGACCTTCCATGTATAGCACATCATGGACATTGACCATCTATAAACTTCCAAGGACAGCATCCTAGAAGCCACCAGATATATTACTAGTATGCACTGAAATCACTATATTTCATTTTTTAAAATGACCATTTAGCTTACCATAGATTTGTGCAACATGTCCACCACCTCGGACTCGTACACGGATATCAACTCCAGCAAACTTCTCCTTTCCCAGTAACAGGAATGGTTCTTGAAGCTGAAAATATATCAAGCAAAATATTAATACATATTTATAACATTGCTTTCCCAGTATGCTGTTTTTGTCATACATCATTAAACAAACTTGACACCGTGTAAATATTTATTTTACGATACAGAATGTTTTGTTTAGTTTTTTTTTTTTCAGTACAAGAAAATTTACAGAAGCTTTTCTCGATTATTTGACATTTTTTAACATATATGAACTGACTGAACTTCAACAACTTTTCTTTTTATTTTATTTCTTATACAGTTGAAAACTTTATCATTGTCATTCCTTTCTTTATACATCAAAAGAGACATAAAATATAATATTGTGATAAGTCATCAAAATAAAAAAGTCAATCAGTTAAGTCATAGATAATCTAAATATAGTTTAATCCTGGTTTAATCATAGAAATATAATCACCATAGACAGAAACTAGTATTTCAGAAGGTGTAAAGTTATCACTGACATTCATTGCCATAGAAGTCGGTTATTATTACACTTTCATCATCAATAACTACCTATTCAACCCACTTATTTTTTTTACACAGGTATGTCTCATAACCTCAGACTCGAACATATAATCTGTCACAATTCCAACATAACAAAGCATATAATCTATCATGATTCCACCTTAACAAATCATCATCATAATCTGTCAAGATTTCAGTTCCAAATCATATAACAATAGTTTTAAACTGATTCATCTTTATAGTGACAACACATCAGAGCGCTGTGGAGGTTATAATCAGCAACTTCTCATAAGCAGAACTGGATAAAACAGTATCATCATAGTGTGTCATCTTTTTTATGTAGGATTTCAAAATGTATTTAAAGAAAGAAAATAAAGCTTTGGTAAAAGTACACATTGTGACAACACATCAGAGCGCTGTGTGTCATCTTTTTTATGTAGGATTTGGAAATGTACTTTAAAAGAGAGAAATTAAAGCCTTAGTAAAAATATATATAGTGATGACACATCAGAGTGCTGTGGAGGTTATAATCAGCAACTTCTCATAAGCAGAACTGGATAAAAACAGTACCATCATTGTGTGTCATTTTTATCATGTAGGATTTCGAAATTTATTTCAAAATGAGAAAATAAAACTTTAGTAAAAGTATACATAGTGACAACATATCAGAGCGCTGTGGAGGTTATAATCAGCAACTTCTCATAAGCAGAACTGGATAAAACAGTATCATCATTGTGTGTCATCTTTTTTATGTAGGATTTGGAAATGTACTTTAAAAGAGAGAAATTAAAGCCTTAGTAAAAATATATATAGTGATGACACATCAGAGCGCTGTGGAGGTTATAATCAGCAACTTCTCATAAGCAGAACTGGATAAAAACCGTATCATCATTGTGTGTCATTTTTATCATGTAGGATTTCGAAATTTATTTCAAAATGAGAAAATAAAACTTTAGTAAAAGTATACATAGTGACAACATATCAGAGCGCTGTGGAGGTTATAATCAGCAACTTCTCATAAGCAGAACTGGATAAAACAGTATCATCATAGTGTGTCATCTTTTTTATGTAGGATTTCAAAATGTATTTAAAGAGAGAAATTAAAGCCTTAGTAAAAATATATATAGTGATGACACATCAGAGCGCTGTGGAGGTTATAATCAGCAACTTCTCATAAGCAGAACTGGATAAAACAGTATCATCATTGTGTGTCATCTTTTTTATGTAGGATTTGGAAATGTACTTTAAAAGAGAGAAATTAAAGCCTTAGTAAAAATATATATAGTGATGACACATCAGAGCGCTGTGGAGGTTATAATCAGCAACTTCTCATAAGCAGAACTGGATAAAAACAGTATCATCATTGTGTGTCATCTTTTTTATGTAGGATTTCGAAATGTACTTTAAAAGAGAGAAATTAAAGCCTTAGTAAAAATATATATAGTGATGACACATCAGAGCGCTGTGGAGGTTATAATCAGCAACTTCTCATAAGCAGAACTGGATAAAAACAGTATCATCATTGTGTGTCATCTTTTTTATGTAGGATTTCGAAATTTATTTCAAAATGAGAAAATAAAACTTTAGTAAAAGTATACATAGTGACAACATATCAGAGCGCTGTGGAGGTTATAATCAGCAACTTCTCATAAGCAGAACTGGATAAAACAGTATCATCATTGTGTCGTTACAAGGGTACAGAGGTAAAAAAAATCCACTGAAATAACCTCAAATTAAGACTTCACACTGAAATTATCCAAGTCTGAAAACTGGCTTAGTTATCACTTTCACTTTTGGACAGCGAGAATCAACTTAGTGAGATTATCATTATCAGACAAAGTCCATAGATTTAAATTAAACAAAAAAATTCTTGTATGAAACAGCATTGCAGCTTTTCATTGAATCTTTTGATCACCTCAGTGTGTGTAACAAAAACAGTCATTATATTGCATTGTAAGTAAGGATTTGTCATCATTGGTGATCAAAACTATAGTCTTCTGTTATTCTTGAACTTTAATATCAGCAACCTATTTTATGAAATTTATACATATATATAACAGGGTTCTCACTAGGACTTTAAAACATAGAGTCCATGGACTCCCAACCCTGAAAAAGTTGGAGTCCAAAAGCGCGTCGCAATTAATATGTTTACAGATTAGTCATTCAATTGCTGATATTTTGAATCTTCAAGAGACTTCCAAAGTTTATAGTTATTCAAAAGAAACTCTGAACTACATAGTATAATTATTGTTTTGTTGTTGATATTTATTATGAAATTATTTCATTATAATGCTTCAACACATGGAAATCGGTTTTGTTTGTTTTTTTCTCCACTTTTATACCAAATCAAATTTCATTCTGGTTAAATAAGTCCACTCTAAAGACAAAAAGTTTATATTTGTAAAAAAAACGTAAATGTATATAGGCAGCGTTTAGCGGAATGAATAGGAAAATCGTGTACAGCTTCAAACAGTGTGTAAGAGATTCATCCAATCGACAATTATTTTAGCAAATATCTCCAAAAGGGGGCAAATTGAAGATCGATATTTAAAGATTTAATGTTGATTAAATAATAAAGGAACAATTCATTCGCATGTTTGGCTTGGAAACCGAGAATTTTTGCGAAATTTTAGGGTTTCTGGCGAACGTGAAATCGCCGATGTTCGGGATCAATTTTCGGATAGAATCTAAATATCAAAGAAAAGCGTATGTGTATTTTGGTTTGTTGTCCTGGCATTTCGGCACAATATCTTAAATTCTTAATAGCCTTATCGAAATTTATTGCAAGAATGAAACTGAAGCAAAATTGTGCATTAGAAAATGCCGAAAATATTCGACAATCATTCATAACTACACTCATTTGTCATTTGAGAAACAGTCTTTTAACTTGCGGCGTAATTAGTCGATAATTTTATCCTTTTGTCGGTAAAATTTGCTAATTTCCAATCAACTGTTGATCAAAGATATAAAATTATCACCTCGTGTTATATCTGGTAATTACATGTACTGTACAGCGCGTGTATACATTAGTCTGATCACTTTTGCGTGATAAAGATCATAATCGTTATCGCTGATTGGCCAATCGCTTCACGGGTCGATGTGCATATAGACTGACACACGCGGACGCATTTGTGTATTGTTTCTGGTTGTAAACAATCGGTAATGTTTATGCGTCCCCAGGCAAAATTAAGCGTACGTGGAATCCTTGCTCTGAAATATTTGCGTCCAGCTGTAATAAACATGCGTACCGGGACGCCGAAATAAGCGTCCCCGAGAACCCTGTATAAAATGAAAGAGACCTTAAGCCTGAAATAACCTACACCAGCAACTTAAGTTTATAAATTACTTTACATAAAACAACAGGAGGTGACTCACACAGAACAGTCGGGTGAAAACTCAAAACAATCAAATGCAATATTTAAGCTCTTGTGTGAAAAAAAAAGAATACAGGCACTGTCTTGTGTTTGTTCATAATGTTGGTCTTTGGTACAAGGAAAATATCGCAAGTTCTGAAGGGGTCCTAAATTAATAAACAATAACACTACAATTCATCACCAGTCATAATTCAATAAATTTAATATTGAACTTATCTTGTTTCACCAATACCTTCTAATTACCTTATAAACATGAAACAAACTTGTATGCCTACTTTTAAGAACAATGACTGCAATTATGACACCCAATCATTGCCAAAGAAGTTAAACATAAAATTTCAATATAAAATAGGGGTCACATTTATTTGTTATTTCAAGTGACAACACATCAGAGCGCTGTGGAGGTTATAATCAGCAACTTCTCATAAGCAGAACTGGATAAAACAGTATCATCATCATGTGTCACTTTGAAACACGGCAATTATTTTAGCGATAACTTTTGACTGAACATTTTTCCTATCCAAAGACATGAAGATATCCAGATGTGCAGCTGCTTTTCTACTTTAGGATGAATTCCTTAATTAAATGCCTTTCTGTTGTCTAACATAATATACTGTGTATATTTCATTGGAAACTCACATAGGAGGGGCCCTCACAGAACCAATCAATTTCCCTATCCTACATCTAACCCAATGATAGATTATATTGACCAATATAAAATTAATCAGTTAAAATACACTTTTTGATCACCTCAGTGTGTGTAACAAAAACAATCATCATGTTTCATTGAAAATAAGGAATTGTCATCATAGGTGATCAAACAAATTTCATTGATAGTTTCAGATTAATTTATGTGCACCAAATACGTGAGATCAATTTTTTTTTCTTCATATATTTAAAATTTGTCCTTACTTTCAATATAGAAAAAAATTTACATTTTGAAATTGGATGAACGCAGAAATATAACGAAGACTGGACATTCAGATACTGTTTATACAATGGGCTAAAAGTTGAGACAATAATGCAACAAAATGTTTAATTATTCTTGTTGGAAACTGGAAAGACTGATAGCAACTCGAACAACAAAAACAAAGGCATGAAACGATAAAAGATATCTACATTTATACGACCATATAACAAACTTGCTATTATTCTTATCTTGTCA